TTGTAATTGTGTGTGTTGTTGTTACATGATTTAATATTTGTTATGCACATTCTCTGTTGCAGGTGTTGGCACCAAGATCGACCCTACACTGTGCAGAGCAGATCGTATGGTGGGCCAGGTCCTCGGCGCTGTGGGGGCTCTTCCTGAGATCTTCACAGAGCTTGAGATCTCCTACTTCCTTTTAAGAAGACTGCTTGGCGTGCGCACTGAGGGTGACAAGAAAGCAGCCAAGGTAAAGCTTTTAAAGTAGTATCATCAAAACAAAATGTTAACTCTGTTTATTGTTCCACATCCTTATGAATGAGACTAGACTTATGAATTTTAGGCAATTCCTCACATCGAAATTAGAGTTTTGTGTTTCATGTAGTCCACTATTAATGCATAGGCATTGTAATGGTGTTATTTCACGAGGCTGGCCAAACTTATTTCTAGCAATACAGACATAATATACTGTGCATACTACCGTTCAAAGATTTGGGTTTGTAAGATTTTGGTAAGATTTTGTTTGTTTTTGAAAGAAAAATATCACCAAGACTGCATTTATTTGATCAAAAATACAGTTCAAACTGTAATCTTGTTGAAATATCATTACAATTTTAAATGGTATGTTCAAACACTATTTTCTATTTGGATACATTTTAAAATGTAATTTATTCCTGTGATGGCAAAGCTGAGTTTTCGGCAGGCATTACTACAGTCTTCGTTGTCACATGATCTTTTTGTTTTGTTTTGTTTTTTGGCAAAGTTAAAAATGTTAATTAATAGTTTTGTGGAAACCATTACACTATGTTCTAACTAGGGATGCACCAAAATGAAAATTCTGGGCCGAAACCGAAAATTCTGGATGCACTTGGCTGAAAATCGAAACCGAAAATGCTTTGTAATGATCATTTATTATTTTATTAAATAATATAAAGTCATTTTGTTAGACTTTTTAAATTTAACTCAATTTTAATGATACTGAATTTAAAAAACACAAGCCAATAAAATAACCACACTTTTACTGAAAGTAATACAATAAAACTGGACAGAATTTATATTAATATTGGTAACACTTTACAATAAGGTTCATTAGTTAAAATTAGTTAACTACTTTAGTTAACATGAACTAAGAATGAACAATAGTTCTTCAGCATTTATTAATCTTAGTTAATGTTAATTTCAACATTTACTAATGCATTATTCAAATCAACAGTTGTGCTTGTTAACAGATAATGCACTCTGAATTAACATGAACTAACAATGAACTGTATTTTCATTAACTAACATTAAGAACGATTAATAAATGTGTTGTTCATTGTTCGTTCATGATAGTTAATACATTAACTAATAGAACCTTATTGTAAAGTGTTACCTTAATATTAAATATCAGTATATTATTTTTATTCACTTCTGTGTAACAGAATCAGATATAAGTTGTTTTTTGGGGGGTTTTTTGGACTAATTATCCAAATAATGTATAGTCCTACAAAGCTATTATTATCAGTGCGTGTGAGCAGAGCATAGCGTCACTGAAGTTAGCATCATTTTACCAGCGTTGCCCAGTACAACTGTACTAGCCTACACCATGTTACAGCACAGTAGCGCTACTGCAAACAGGAACAAGTATACTACATAGAAATTTCCTGTCAGCACGTTATTTGAGCAGACTTTGCTTTTCCGGTGAGCATGAGCGGAACACACATTCATAGAGCAGAATACTGACAAAGTTGCCAAGTCCGTGTATTATACGCGACTTTGGCCTTCTTTTTTTGTAAAGTTGCATGAAAAAATCCCGGGTTGCGGATTTTTGGGCTTATTTGGAAAAAATATGGTTGCTTGTTAGGAAAATCTGACAAGCAACATCGTTTCTTTATTTATGTTCGCTGTATTTTCCAATGCATTGATTGACACTCCGTTTGCTCACGGTTAATAGTCAACCAGTGCAATAATATAAGTGCTGCAGCGTAATTTGCCAAATGTTCCGCCCCCTCCTCGCCATAATTGGAGAAAAATCACGTTCAGAAAGAAGGCACGTGACACTGTAATCCAAGCGATGATAGAAGTAGACGTAGAGGAGTGGGATGACTTTCTTTTAGCCTAATTTTTAATTTTTACAATGTTTTTGTAATGTATTGTGAATTATCACGGACTGTAATAAAAAAACAAGTAGTCCTATACCAATACTAAGAGTATATACATTTGGTTCGAATAGCCTATATTTTAGTAAGCTATAAATATGTGGCCATGTTACAGCTCCCCTTTGAAGCTCTTGTTTTTCTCCTTTTCCATCTCTCCAATCCTATTCTGCTCTCAGGTGATTGGAGATGATTTTTGTTCTTTCTTTGTTGCAGTTTGCTGATTTTTGTAAAATAACTTCTGTTTTTGCTTTTCAGATAAAAGAGTGTTTAAAATTTCTGTTTAATATGTTGCAGGCTCATTTATTGGTAAAAAATAATTTATAATAAATAATATTGATGATAAGTCATCAAAAAAATATTAGACTTGTTTTTGAAGCTGCGGTTGCTTATTTATCTTGCGAGAGTTGGCAACAGTGAATACTGAGCGGAGCATCAAACCGTGCAGTGACGAGGAGAGTGAAACCTGGGTGCTGAACACTGCCGGGCAGGGTGCAGCGCAATATATATTCTTATATGTAGCCTATATTTTGCTGTTTTTCTCTTTTGGCCGAAAACCAAAAATGCCATTTTCAGCCGATGATTTTCGGTTGCCGAAAATTCGGTGCATCCCTAGTCCTAACCAGACGTTAAAGCAAAATGCTTCAAGCGACAAGGGATTCGGTTTAAGAAACAGTTTCTATTTGTGACGTCGCAGCTGGAACAAGTACATACTATGACGAAAAATCTCAGATATTGATTATGTGCTTTATTTAATGTTAAAAGGGATTAATGTGAGTTTGAATATCGTTTCCCATGACTTTTATAGCCATGCTGGAAGGGACAATGGATAGTTTACCATTCAGATCTTGAAAATAAGGGAAACAGTGTTTATACGGTGAACTCGTTGTGAGCAAACAAGTGTATCTTCTGGCAAAAAATGATTTCAGTCACTCTGTATGTATTTTTAATAGTGTTAAAAAGGGTTTAATATTTCTTAATTGGGTTATCTATTTTGCGGCAAATGCAGTACAGAGAAAGCTGCCAACACCTGATTGGCTGTGTATTACATCTGGTGCGGACAAATTGCTAGTCACTGGAATTGCATACATTTGGTTAGGACATATTTCAGGATTCTTTGATTCTGATTCTCTTGATCTTTTTTTTTTTACACTTGCATCAAATTTTACTGACCCCGAACTTTTGAATGGTAGAGTGTATATGGTATGTAATGTTAATAACTAAGCATTCTGATTTAACTGTACTTTTGCCATATTTTGAATGCTTTTGCAGTTTTTGATTTTCTTACTGATTTGGCCTACAGGTTCAGAAGCTGTCGAAGAATGAGGTGCTGATGGTAAACATTGGCTCGCTGTCGACAGGAGGTCGTGTGAGTGCAGTGAAAGCTGATTTGGCCAAGATTGTGCTCACTAACCCTGTGTGCACAGAGGTGGGGGAGAAGATCGCCTTGAGTCGCAGAGTGGAGAAACATTGGCGGTGAGCACATTTTAATTCAGCTGTTTGTTCTGTGAAATAATGTGCATCAATGAATCATGCGCAATTATTCAAACACTTGTTTTATCATTTAGATATTTTCCACTTTTCATCAATGTAGTTTGAACAGTCATTGACTTGTTTCTCTTCTCTAGTTTGATCGGATGGGGTCAGATCAGGAGAGGGGTGACCATCACACCCACAGTCGATGATGATTGAGGAGTGACCACATTTTTTCAATGTCTCTGTGCCGGACATAATTATTAAATCATTTTCACACACGTGCACAGGCCAGCGCGTTTCGTCATCAGCGCAGAGTGAATGGAAAGGCTCTTTTTGATAGGAATGCACTGGCCCTGTATTTTAAGATGTTCACCATCCTCTGTGGAAGGATTGGTGTCATTTATATGAGAAATGCAATGAAAACAATATTCCTTGGCTTGACAAAGAAGATGACTAATAAAAACCTTTTGGATCAAACTGTTTTGTGTGCTCTGTTTTCTGAAAATGGTGCTTCCTTTCAACCACTACAATTACTATTAAAACCTTATTCTCGCAAGAGCAGTGTAGTGATAAAATTGCTGCAACAACCTTATTTTAATATGGCATGCAGGGTTATTAATCGCATCCAAAATCATTTGAAAATGTGGGGAGACAAATTAACACTTGAGTCAATAAGTAATGATTATTTAGAAGTGGGGGTACAGGTCCACAACAGATATGTTGGTTTCTATACCTTTGATTAAACTTAAATGTCCTGAACAAACGTTGTTGTATATTAAAACCATGATAAATGTGATCTATAAGCATGTAGTAACAGGTTTTTGAATGAGCAGTTCGGCAGCATTATACCTTAATTAATACCTGAGTTATAGTATTTAATGATGTTCGAACATTAGACTCGATCAGATTATCTCTAGCCAACCTCATCGCTTAGCTAACTCAAATGAGTATTAATATTATCATACTTTTGAGTATTTTGATATGCTGTCGCTATTTTTAATTTATATTATGTTTGTTATATATGTTTGCTTGGTTTTTGATGTATGCTAATAGTTCTTGTTTATAAAAGTATGTCGGCCTGTACCTAATGTTAGAACAAACTGACATATGTTCAAGCGTCTTTATAAAAAGAAAAGAATAAAAACGTGAAACCACCAGGTCAGTAACCGTATTCGCACTAAACTGTGCGAATGTGCGACTCGGCAAATATTTCCAACCACAAACTATTTTCCTAATAAGCCTTTATAGTAATTTAAACCAATTTATATGCATAAATCCCTAACTGGCTAATATCCCGAGCTCGCTAATCATTCCGCATCATACGCCTTTCACGGCCCCACAAATAAAGCCCACAAATACTGCCTCACAAGCGACTTTCTAAAGCGCCAAACAAAATCATTCGTTTGGTTTTACTCAATACCGCCTAGTTTTAAAATGGCCAACGCGCAGAGAAAATACAGTTTGCGGGCCTGCCAAAAGAGCCGGACTGCGGCCACTTCTCTCAGACTCCTTCCGCATTTTCCTGCGGCTCCGAGGCTGTGACGTGCGCCTCTGAAGGCGGCGTAATCTCCGGCGGAGCTGGAGGCTGCAGCGCCGCGGAGCGCATCAGACTCGGCCCCTCCCCTCCGCGCTCTGCGGCGGCCCGCCCTGCTCACACAAGAGCCCCGTCTGCGTTCTGCCCGAGTCTGGGGGTGGGAGAAGGAAACCCGTACGGCCTTGGAAACGAAACAAAAAAATACAAACGGTAGGCCGCTGAGTTTAACAGAATATTCAATTTGAAATTTGTTAGATTAGCATCTGATGCGATATTTTGGAGTCTGTGTATAATACGTGTTTATCTGTCAGAGAGATTAACGTCGTTGCAGTGGCGCGTAGGCCTTTGTTAGCAGCGAGCCGCGGCCTTCAGAGGCCTAAAGTAGGCCGCGGAGACGAAACTCTCAAGACCCGCATGACTGATTCATAAGCAACTACACATTGATTTAAGGTTCAGATGGATTACGCAAACTATAATTGTGTTGCAGATCATATTGAGTGTCATTGTGCTGACACTGAAGTATATATTTATGAGATTTGATGAATTATTTTAATTTATTCAAAATGGCGATGATTGGGAAAGGGGGCGTGCCTGGTTATTTCTAGCAGTGGGCGGGGCACTGCGCTCCAGGCTCGTCGAGGGTACGCCCCTTTACTGTCACAGATGGGAATAGAAGCGTCAACTCTACAGTACAGTATCAGATTATGGGATTCATGGAAGCCTGTTTGCCTTAAAGTTACTGTACTACTAGTATAATAAGGTCATTCCTATTGTGCAGTTATTTTTGAGCTCTGTAACTTTGAAAATAAATCTGCTTGTGTTGCAATTTAAAGTATTTCTACATAAGGGTGTACCAGACTTTCAAAAATATTCACTGGTCTAGAGCAGGTACTTAGATGTATTAATAATTTGACTATATACATAATGGCAAACTAACGTTATTCGATTTAAATATGATTTAATGATTTCCATCTTTAAAATGATGTTCGTTATTTTATACAATATCAAGAAACATGTGAAAAGTATTTTCATGTTATGGCCTACAACTGATAGCCATTATTAAATTCTACAAAATTTTGTCAAATAAAAGAAATCAATCACTACTAACTAACTAAATAAATAGCATGATGTAGCCTATAGTATGAAAAGCAGGTGTTCATTTTGAGATTTGCTAAAGCTTACATTTAACCATGTTGTTACATTTAAATTAAAAGATTTAATGATTTTCATCCTAAAAATTATATATATTATTGTATACAAAATATCAAGACATGCATTTGATTGGGATATAAAATGTATAACTAGAATAACTTAATTGCTTTAGTGATGGGAAGGAACTAGAAAATAAATATGAATATATGACCTGGTTATTTTATCACTTTCTTTTGTGATGTTGTGGTTATCTTTGTTATATCCCAACGTATCCTATTGCAAGACAACTCTGACAAAATATTATATAGTGCTGATTTTATGCTGTAAATTGCATACAAGTGAGACTTTTATGTTCTTATTGTGTTCTGATGGTTTTATTTCATTTTGCATGTTGTTCCTGTAGGTCTTATATTATGCAGATGACCAGTGGAGACAATGGATGAAGATGTAACGGCTCTCTCTCTCCATTCCCATGAGCCCAAGATCATATTCCATGGGACAGGTAAACAAACAATGACTGAAGTCTCTCAGATTGTTGGTTTATGAATGTAAAGACATTTATTTGTTCTTCTACATGAAGAGGTTGATGGAGAAGACGAGGTGGTGGTTGAACTGCAGGAGTCGGTTCTCGTGTCTGATGTGGAGGGTGAGAAGATCACGGTGCACGGCCTCGCCCATGAGGAGCTGGTCATCCAGGAGGCCATCGAGGATGTGGTGGCGGAGTACGTGCCATGCACAGATGAAGACGAAGAGCTGGGCACTATTGCTGTGGAGACCTGTGTGATGTCACCCGATGAAGTGGCTCTGGAGGAAGAAGGACTGGAGGTTGATGTGGTGACTGACGCTCAGGTACAGGAGGATCCTGACACCTGTGGAGACTACCTCATGATCTCTTGTGAGTGGCTTCAGCCAATCAGAATAAAACAGTTGTTGAAAAGGATCTGTGGATATTAATGAGTCATTGTTCAGGAAGTTTCTGTGCTGCTTGACAACAGTAACATTTTCAGCACATTTTTGTAAGCGAAATCGATCCAAGTGATGGCAAAAGATTTCCTCACATAAATTTCACAGCGGGTTCATTATTTATTATTAATTATAATTCATATTCTTATTATTTTATTTTAATTCAGAGATTCATTTAGTGGTTGATATTCATTAAAGCAATAAGCCCCAAGAAGCCGTGGTTTACAGTGAATTTATAACAGCTAAGGGGCGTTATAACCCCCTTAGCTGTTATAAATTCACTGTAAACCACGGCTTCACAGGGCTTATTGCTTTTATAAAACGGTTATTCCATATACGTAGTAAGGTTTCACAGAATAAAACAGAGCAAATAAAGTGTAATGATATAAATAAAAATAGTATTCTAACATCCAAACAATGAAGTTCCTCAGAAACAGTTGTGGTTCCAACAAAGTGGTTGCCAAGCAACACACAGAAGTAAACAATGGTGTATGTTTGTTGTGTAATTTACAACAGCTTCGAACGCGGCTCAACCAATCAGAATCAAGGACCGGAACTATCCGTTTTATAATATAGAATTGTGCAATCAGCTCTGAAGGATGATTAGAATTGCTCTAATTTTAGATTAGATTTAGACCTTTGCCATCATCTGACGCTCAATTGACGTTAATTTTTAAAAACATGAATAATTTAACAACTCTAATCTTTAGCAAATTTCCATACCATACATTATAATTTTCATGATGCCTAAATTCACTTTATCATGTATCGTTTAAAATAACTGATTTTAGTTTTTAGTGTTTATTTAAATAAAATAGTATAGAATTTTAATATCAATATTTATCAGCTATTGGTCATAGCATGAAAGTAATAATCAGAATTGGTGCTTCTCTCATTATTTTGTATTTATTAAACACAAGTGTTTTTAACCATATTACTGTTGCTGCGGTTTAACGCTTCCACTTTGTGTAGACTGTGGTAAACGTAAAGCATGACTTTTTGCTTTATTCTTTACACCATTTAACAATACATTATATAGGATGCAAGAATATGCTTGTTGTTTGTTTGTCACCATCTGTTTGTCTTGGTTTTATTTCAGTGGATGAGGCTGGAAAGGTGGTTTCCGATGAGGATGCGAAAGTTACTATTGAGGGCACTTTAGAAGACCCAGAGGATGTGGAGAAGGAGGATGAGGGTCAAGAGGTCATCAAAGTGTACATCATCAAGGCTCACCCAGAGGAGGAGGGCTTGGGTATGTTAGAACTCTCTTCAAGTCTGCAGCACGATGCTGTACTTCATTACAGAGCTTATATCAAACACTTTTTATCTTAGTGTGTATATATATTTGGTGTTTATAGATTTATGGATAATTTACAGGAGGCACTGTTGACATAGGAGACACTGAGCTTGATGTAGATGAAACCGTGGAGCTGGTAGATCCTTCTGGAATGCCGATAAGAGAAAAGATGGTGTACATGTCAATGGATGAAGCCAATCAAAACCAGGATGATATCAGTGAGTCCCTTTACTCTCAGCTGTTTATGAAGGTGTTTCCTCCAAGTGATATTATGTGTTTTTCCTCAAACAGATGTGGCTAAAATCACAGATGAGGTCTACATGGAAGTGGTGGTAGGGGGTGAGGACCCTGGCAGTGCTCAGCGGACACTTGACAGTGCATCGCTCGGCAAGGACTTCATGCCTGTGGCTTGGGCAGCTGCTTACGGTTAGTGAAACACACATTTTTTGGTCATATTCAAAAGTTGCGTTGTGCAGTATTTCCATAACCAATATTGATCACTTTAACATTAATTTTGGGCAGTTAAAGGCACAATGTGTAATTTTTTGCCACAAGAGGGCGCGTATTCCAAACAAACAAGGGAACAAATGCTAGTTGGATGACCTGTGACGGTGTGGAATCATGGGAGTTGTGGTCTTCATCCCCACAGCCGATGCAATCCAATGGGACTCGGGCAGAAATCATGTTCATGGATGAGCTAATGTATTAAAGATTTATTAACGTCGAAATATGAAGCAGGGTGAGGCTGAAAGCCGTCGAAGCGAAACGAGGCCGATGACGAGCGTGACACACGGCTCGAAAGCAGCAGACCTTTTATTATGCCACAGTCAACCGCTTCCGCTCCTTCCGGAAAGCAGCGGAAGTAAGCAGCGCTGTTTTATCATACTAGATACATTTGAACGTTCTGTTATAATGCTACTCTGTGCGGTCATCACCGGTCTAATAAAACGCATAGCATATTAAAGCGTCTTTGGTGTTTCCATGTTTTCTACAAAACAAAACCGGAAATCGAGGGGTTATGATGTCATTATTTGCAGGCGACACTATGGACACGGTCCGTGTCACTAGTTAAAATTGCTTATTTCTCTGGATTTAAACATTCTTCGAAACATTTGGGATAATGTAAGTACTCAAGTCAGCAAAATATATAACACTGTTCTAGTGGTTTTTGGATATTTTAATAAAAAAATCTTACATATTGTGCCTTTAATTCTGAAGAAATATGCATGTTTCCTATTCTCCTAAATTATGTCTCCTAAATCATTTGTACATTAGCTAATAAGGAATTTTCCTACTATGAAATGGACATATGACAGGCTTCCTAATAGACTTTAGTCTTTATGCCAACATCTAAATTAATCACTGAGACGAGTTATAGTTCATTAATCGAACACTTTGTAATACACCTATCTCTTTAATCTGCAGTACAAGACAGCTTCTCATTATAACCTTGAAATATGATGTGATGTCTGTCAGGTGGGGAGGAGAGTGAAAGCTGTGAGAACAGGAATGGAGCAGCTAGTGCTTTACTGCATGTTGATGAGTCTGATATGATCGAAAGGCTCAGCCGTCAGCGAAGCAAGAACAGGAGCAAAAAACGTTCTGAACTTCGTCATGTTCACACAGGTACATCTCTTCTGCACTTTAATTTAACATTTTACATAACTTAATTTTTTATATATATATATATATATATATATATATTCTACTAGTGAACGGCATATTATTGTGCCATCTAAAAGAGGCAATGTGTGTGTACTGTGTATATTTATTATGTATATTTAAATACACACACTTGCGGTATATATTTTGAATACATGTATTTACATGTATATATTTATTATATTCATATAATTTATATTATATATAAATATATTTAATATATAAATGTAACATATTTTTCTTAAATATATACATGCATGGTTGTATATTTATATATTCATAATAAATATACACAGTACACACACATATACTATGTGAACAAAAACGTTTATTTTAATATATATATATTATGTAACAACTTACATTGTTGCAAAAGATTGTATTTCAAATAAATGATGTTGTTTTGAACTTTCTATTCATCAAAGAATCCTGAAAAAAAATATTAAGCAGCACTGCACTCTTAAGAAATGTTTCTTGAGCAGCAAATCAACATGAGGATCATGTGACACTGAAGTAATGGCTGCTGAAAATTCAGCTTTGCTATTATAATAATAAATTACATTTTAAAATAAAATACAGTTTTGCTTAAATTGTAATCATTTTGTAATATTACTGTTTTTACTGTATTTTTTTATTATTAAATAAATACAGCTTTTAAAGAGAGAAGAGATTTTAAAAGCATTAAAACAATCCTACAGACCCCCATATGTTTCAGCTATAGCATATATATTAATTTTGGTTTACTTTTTCAACTTCAGCAATCATCATTGGACCTTACGGCCAGCCTCTTACGGTGTACCCTTGTATGCTATGTGGGAAGAAGTTCAAGTCTCGTGGTTTCCTCAAGCGCCACGCCAAGAATCACCATCAGGATGTCGTAAACCGAAAGAAATACCAGTGTACGGACTGTGATTTCACCACTAACAAAAAAGCCAGTCTCCACAACCACATGGAGATCCACACCCTCAGCAGTAAAGCACCATTTGAGTGTGAAGTCTGCGGAAAAGAGTTCCACCAGCAGGCGGCGCTGTTCTCTCACCGTCTGCAGCACCACCACCGAGAATCCAAGCTTCAGATCCCACCACCCACCACCAAAATGCACAATTGCAAGTTCTGCGAATACGAGACGGCAGAACAAGGACTTCTAAACCGACACCTACTCGCCGTTCATAGCAAGAATTTCCCGCATATCTGCGTGGAGTGTGGGAAGGGTTTCCGGCATCCTTCAGAGCTGAAAAAACACATGAGAACCCACACCGGTGAGAAACCGTATTCCTGCCATTACTGCGACTACAAATCAGCCGACTCGTCCAACTTAAAGACACACGTGAAGACCAAGCATAGCAAAGAGATGCCCTACAAGTGTGAGCGCTGTTTCCAGACGTTTGCCGAACCCGACGAGCTGTTACAACACGGCCTGACACACGAGGAAGCCAAAACGCACCAGTGCACCCACTGTGACCATAAAAGCTCCAATTCCAGTGACCTGAAGCGCCACATCATTTCAGTTCACACCAAAGACTATCCACATAAATGTGAAGTCTGTGGAAAAGGCTTCCACCGGCCGTCGGAGCTCAAAAAGCACTCGGCTGCCCATAAGGCTAAGAAGTTACACCAGTGCAGGCATTGCAATTTCAAAATCGCTGATCCATTTGTTCTCAGCCGGCATATTTTGTCCGTGCACACCAAGGAGCAGCAGGCCTTTCCTGACAAAAAGGCTCTTAAGAAGACATTTAGACTCAGTGCTCATGGAGGTAAGAAAATTTTGGGCGGCGCCGGTCTGTCCAAGGGCCACCGGGAACGCCGGGTTTATCAATGCCAGTATTGCGACTACAGCACGGGCGACGCGTCTGGTTTCAAGAGGCACGTGATCTCCATTCACACCAAAGACTATCCTCACCGATGTGACTTCTGCTCGAAAGGTTTCCGCAGACCGTCGGAGAAGAATCAGCACATTGTGCGGCATCATAAAGATCTAATGCCTACTATGTGACCTTTGCAATCAGAAACCCATTAGGAAAAGCTCTGTTCTGATGTAACTGTGGTCTTCAGGGCCAAAAGCCAACTAGAGGCTTTTTTTGGATCCCTGATGGTACAGGCTGAAAGTGCAAGGAAATACAGAAAAAAACAACCATCTCTTGTGTCCAGTTGCAAGTTACACTGCTGTAAAGTTCAAGTCAATGTTCTGAAGATACATTCTTTTAAAGTTGAATCAACCTTTCTTGAGTCTAAATCTGCTGATGAGCTTTAGATTAATTGCGAAAATAGATCAACTTGCGTACTAATCCATCAAGGGTGGACGACATGCATACTTGTGTAGTTTTATGTTGGAGCGTCGGGTTATAAATTTGAATTATGACTCCTGTATTGCATGTTACACAAAACAACAGCTTTGGTGATTGTGGCGTGTTTGTGCACATGCGTTTACAAGTACAAAAGTTTTGGGAATAAGGCCTTGAAGAAGTCCGTTGTCTTTAAACTACGGTGCTAATGCTTTATCGACTGGTATCTTCGCTTCAGACGAGCAGAATGTCTAATTCTAGAGAACTGAAAAACTCGACTTATGCCGTGGCTGCTAAAAATTTGTTTTAATTTGAGGGGAAAAAATGGCTGTTCAGACCAGATAGGCTTTTGGGAAACCCATCTTTCGTTTTGGTTCTCTAACCGAAATGCATCGACAACACTGGTGCATTAATTTACTAAGAGCTGTTATTTAAGACAATGAATTTATAATGTAGGACAGGGTTTCTTGGTAATATTTCCAATAAATTATATTGCAAATAGTACTCCAATCACAAGAGATCTTCAGGTTTAATCAGAGTGTGCAGACATTAAATCAGGCCGAATGGCTGGTTCTCTAAATTTGTTTTAATTTAGACGCTAGTTTGTGTATTTCTTGAATGTGGCCATTTGGCTTTTGGTCTGTTGTAAAACTCACCCTCAAATTATTATTATTATTATTATTATTCAGATGTTTAGGGTAAATTTTATTTTTTACACAGATACTGAAAATGTATAATTTGGAATAAAGAGATTCTAAAAAATGTTATGTTATGTGTATATGAAATATTTGTAAATACAGAAGTAATAAACAGTATTTTGTGTCCAAAACGTTTTTATTTTTCATTATAAAATGAAATGCAAATGGAGAATTTGAATGAATCACACCAACATTTGTCATTTGTAAACCAATTTAATCTAACAGCAGTAAACAAAACCACCAAAGACAAGCACTGTTCATAAAAATTTGTTTACAGGTATGCCATATCGGTTATGAAACATGTTTGACACATTTACAGGAGAAAAAAATCACACATCAATACAGAAACATCAAGAACTGAGTTCAGTTTATTAAAATGCATAATTTGGATGGTAAGGTAATACTTTGCCATTCTGTCCCCCTGCTTGAGACATTCTTGCTCTGTAGTTGCAAATTGGTTTGTCATCGTGAGCACAACAACTGTGTTTAAGGCAAAAAGAAAAACTGATGTTTCCATACAAAATGAAAGCGACAAAAACCAAGCAGACAGAAGGCCAGCTAATTCACATCTGTTTTTCAGGTGAAATGATCAGACCAGCTGAAGTTGTCTTACTTTGGTTGAGACACTTAGGCAACCGAGCATTCTCCTGCAGAACAGCAGGTAAAGTTAGCAAAAATGTCAAGTATTAAAAAAAATACATCATTGAGGATTGATTAAAATCTTAAAACATACCATTTGTTGGCAGTATGGCAATGTTTTCCTCAAGGATGCCAGTGTCCAGACAGAACTGCCTGAACTTCTCCTTCAAGTCATCAGAAAGTACTGTGGAACGAACTGTTGATGACACATTCAGGGTCCGTTTAGCGTTTATTCAGGAAAACGTTACAGCTAAATTGTGTAATTTGGACAAATCGAGCTCTTACTGTAGAGTTTGTTGAGAACCTCAGAAACACCTCCCTTGGTCTTGATAGTGTGAATGAGAGCGTACTCATCAAATTTGGCATCAACCACGCGCATGTCGTTTTCATTTCCCCAACCTGATGAAAATTGAACACATTCAGGCCAAAGGAACAAAAAAAACCCTGACCATAAGCTGAAGCAAAAGCAGGACGACTTACGCTGGCTGTAGAAGACAAAACGTCCTGGAGTCTCAGTTTTCTTGGCGAGGTGTGTCATTCTCCAGCAGGAACCATCACTCCTGAGAAACAAATGAAGTAATTAAAGTTATTTTTGTAATTATAAGAATATTTATCAATACTCTTCTCCTTGAACACTAAAGCTAGCTTGAGCTTACTTCAGATTAGTGTAACTGAGATCAAGGTCTCCGTCCTCGGTAGGCACCATCATGGCAGTTCCCATCGTCATGTCAGCCTTGTGACTGACAAACCATTTAGCATTTGAAGCAAAGCCAATGAGATACCACTTTCCTCCTATCTGCACAGAATATAACTATTTTAGACCAACACTCTTAAAAATAAAGGTTTCAAAATGTTTGTTTTTTTCTGTGACGCCAAAGAAGAACCTTTTTGGTTCCCTGAAGAACCTTTACTTCTTAAAAGAACCTTTTTTTTTTACTGTGAAGAATATTTTAATAATCTAAAGAGCCTTTTTACACTATAAAGAATGGAAAGATTCCATGGAAGTTTCTTCATGTAACCACTGATGGCATTAAAGAACCTTTTTAAGAGTAAACCGAACCTGAGAATAGCCCTAAAACTCACTTCTAACACTTAAATGCTTTCATTTATAGTATTTTGCAGTAAAACTGCAAGGTAAATGCCTGTACATTTTAATTTTTTACCTTTTCCATGTCGAAGTCAGTCATGGGCATGACATCAGCAGAGGCGAACACTGCACAGAGCAGAACGCACAGCATCTTTAAAACGACAGTCATCATGGCTGTAGAAGTGTAGGTTCTTTCTCTATATGCAGTTCAGAAGGCAAAGTTGGCTGTGTAGAGGAGACGAAAGGCAGCCCCTGTTTTATCCTCAGATTTGAGCCCCCCAAACCCTCCCTCCTTGAGTCCCTCCCACCTCCGACGACACAGCAGGAATGATAATTACAGTCGTTACACAACTTGCAACATGCACGTGTAGATTTTTTCAGGTATATGTGGGTGTTTGAGGGTATTTTTGATGCTTTTTATGACCCTACAGTCTGATGTCCCTGTTTGGCCTTCATGCAATACATGCAAACATTTTTTTTATGTTTTTGAAAGAAGTTTCTTATTGCTCATCCATGCTGCATTTATTTGACCAGAAATGCAGTAATTCTGTTAAATAGTATGATTCAAAACAACTGTTTTCTGTTTAATACTTTCAAATGTCATTTATTCCTGTGATGGCAAAGTCTTCAGTGTCACGCGATCCTTCAGAAATCATTCTAAATGTGCTGATTTGCTGCTCCAGAATTTTTTTTTATTATTATCAAAGTTTAACTCAGTGCTTCATATTTTTGTCTAAACCATTTTTCAAGAGTCCTTGAATAGAGAGTTCAAAAGAACCGCATTTTTTTCGAAACAGAAATGTTCTGTAATATTTGTCTTTGCTGTCACTTTTGATTAATTTAAAGCACGCTTGCTGAATAAATTATTTATAGTATTAAAGTATTTTTAAAACATCTTACTGACCCCAAACCTTTGAATGGTAGTGTAGACTGGGGATGATGTTAAGTCCAAAAGTGCTTGTAATAAAATGCAATGCAAAATATCAAAATGCATTTTATCCAAATCAAGCTCTTGCCCACCCTATCGGGTGATTGTGACTGTTGCTGCAAAAAGCTATTTTGTGTTAAAAACTAGTTAATTTCTGTGTTAGATGTTTTTCCATATGAAAATGATTACCGTAGGATATTTTTTGGAATGTTGGATATGTAACATGTTTACCCCTTGTGTTGTGTAACTCTGAAAGGGTGGGCAGGCAGAGTCTTGTTTTGAGAGTTACATCACAAACCACACTAACCTCATCAAGATGCCTTTGCCTTGTTGTATAAGTACTCTTCTGTTACATCTAGAATGGCTTGAGCAAAATCACCACTTTCGATACTTATTAGCAAGGATGTAACCCAAATAAATTAAAGATTAGGGGGATGTGCTTTCCTCAATATCTACTGGTTCCTATATTATATTGAATGCTATTGTTCATGATCAAACTAGAAAATGTAAAGTTAACACACAAAACCTTGAAATTACTAATTAAATTTATTGGTGAAATTCTTAGCACAATGCTTTCTCACAGTGCTCACAAGATGCTGGTTTTAGGTCAGATCTGGTGGACAAAGCAATGATAGTGTTGTTAGGTTGCTAGGCAAAAATAGAGATTATACAAAATCATACAGTTTATTTTTGTTACAAAACCTAATTTAAGTTATGCAAGTTTAGCAACACATGCCTGTAAAACAGAAAACGTGATTCTAACACACGCGGGTGATGCACAAATGTCCGGATTGGTTCATTTTGTAGGGTAAAAAAACATTTATTTCAGCCAATAAGCCTAAAACCAAGCAACGGCACAGAGAAGTCGAGAAATCTGATTCATTTCGAGAATCGGCTCGTTTAAACGATTCAATTGAATCAATTCGCAAAACTCCTCGCGCGCGATTATACGTGTTATTGAAAATAAGTGTTCCGTTAAACATTTTATGATTCTGTACTCGAATACGTTTAATGTATTTCAATGTTCTCCATTACTGTCGAGTAGGCCTATTTATATAGGCTTTGCGAATCGGTTCACTTGAATCATTAAAAAGATCCGTTACAAAATAACGACTCGTGCATGAATATGACATTAGAATCAGCAGTGCGATGTTTAGAATGCAGCAGCTATTAAATTACTTAAAAATATACAGGTCTGTAAATGTCAGTTAATTAAACATTAAGCCGATGTAAAAAGAAAAAAATGTAGCTCTTACCCAGGACCTTTTCTGTGGACTCGCAGAACCCTGGAAAAGAGTCAAAAGGAATTCAAAAGAGTGTTCATCCGCTGTGTTTCTATTTTATTATTTACATTGAATTAGTCCATTGTCTCACCGTAGTCAGGATTCTGGAAAATGACGTCCAATCCCAAATTAAATATCTTTGCACGATCCTCAAATTTTTTCCAATATATTATCAGGCCCTTCACTGGACCGTCCTTTAAAAAAGTAGCCTACTCTTTTTCACAGTGGTGCCAGTGTGACACAAAAGGATGGGTTTGAGAGGTTTAAAATAGAGACTAGAACACCTACCATATAGTTTCATGGTAATTTCCCCTGCTCTCTTAAAAACCACCGTAGCATTGGAGCTGTAGTCCGTCTCCAGCACCATTATGTCCACATTCTCAGCAGGTCTCTTACCTGCATAAGAAATTTGACATTATTGAATGCCATTGTATTTGCTTTGAAAAATAAATAAATAACCAAGAGTAATTGATTAAGAATGTGTTTGTTATATTATAAACAATAAATATAATAATAATAATAATAAACATGGTATTTGGACACTTTGGTTGTCAAATTTAGTGGAACTCCGCTATAGGTCACCTGAGAGAACCTGATGGCTATGAAAATAAAAATGTTATCTTATGGCATCCTTTGCAAATATGTTGTTGTCTAAAGTGGTCAAACACATGCTGGATCTAATGTAGGCTATTTGTCCACAGAAACACTTTGTTTTGGTGTCCTTCAGAAATGTTACATGTACTTTAGTAATAACAGTAAAAAAAATTGCATAATTATTTACAAGAAACAAACATTAAACCAAACCCTAATCAGATCCCTATGTTAATTAATACTCAATACTTTTTTATTTTTTCAAACCTTTTCTTTAAAAAGTATTTCAAAATGACTTGTGATGATTATAAAATCACTTTCATCTATTGCATACCAACTGTCAGTCCAGGTCAGGGAGCATTTCACAACAAAGGAAAGCCATCAGTGGTATGAATGACAGGCTTTGAACCCTGCTCTAGTGGTCAGTGTGGTTCAGTCGGCACAGGATACCTACCTTGGAGAAACAGTTGGACAGGGGTCTTTGTTTTCATGTAGTTCTGCTTGATTTCCCAGCACTCAAAATTGCTAACATAGGGAAAAAGCACAATGGATGAGCAGATAAGATGAAATATATATATATGTGTGTGTGTGTGTGTGTGTGTGTGTGTGTGTGTTTAGGGATTTCTTGGTGATTTAAATATAAGAGAAATATACCCATGAAAAAAAATATTTTGACAAAGCAAGCTGTATCTTGACCATCCTATGCTTTTGCTCACATCAGTTGTAATTAAATGAGAGTCTATACAAGTTGCCAAAGGGAACATTTTTAAGGTTGCATCATCATCATGCAACCATCATAATCATGGCCTACCTGTGCAAGTTAATACTCACAAGATGGTACACTATCATCATAATTTAATTTAACAAAATCTAAAAATACTGTTTAGGAATGCTTGATTTATTAGTATTATAAGCATTTTACTGCCTGATGAACTTGTAATGCCTCAGAGAAAATCTTGATCTTGAAAGTGAGATAATACAGGCAAAAATGCTGTTTTCCCATGCAGCTTTTGGGGTTTTCATAAAGTGTTTTTTTTTTCTTTTTCAGAATAGTGGAAAGAAAACATTCAAACTACACTTTTAAGTGTTTCTTTTATTGCACTTTATCTATCTGTGTCTGTATATTTCAATTACAATACATATCTTTAAAGGCTTTTTTAATATATATTTCTCCTAAACTGAGCCAGAAATCTCCACTTCAGTAGCACTTATATAGACCAAATTTTACAGTTTCATTCTCTAAAGGTTTTTACAGAGAGGTTTGTTCTTATATTCTGCTTGATTTTAAACAACATTTAATAAAAAATAAAAAAGGTGAACATGCCCCCCACCCCAGGCTGTTGACAGAATTCTCAGATTTATAGAGTGATAAAAAGAGATATCCAAATTCCCCTCCATAAAAACCTTTGACTCAAGTATGTAAATTAAATGACACAAGACTTTTGAACCTGGCTTTATCCAATATTCAGATTTTTGTTCTAGAATTGTATGCAATTTAGCAGATATTTAATTAGACTCATTTGCAAACTTGTAATACAAACAAGTGTTTGCCATTCTTAATGTAATCAGTCACCTGAGAAGTATGGTGATTTGTTTATATTTTACCCTATTGACTTGGGATTTCCTGCCCTCTCATAACCAAGGTAATGGTCAGTCTTGTGTCTTGTGTTTCCCTCCCTCTTATGCCCATATTTGGTCATTTTCTTGTCCTTGTTTAGTTTAATTATGATTCCGTTCAGCTGTGTTCTATTAAATACCCTTGTATTTAAGTTCCTGCCTGTTCAGTTCCCCTTTGGTCTGGTCTATGTCAGTCTTGTGTTTCCCTCCCTCTTATGCCCATATTTGGTCATTTTCTTGTCCTTGTTTAGTTTAATTATGATTCCGTTCAGCTGTGTTCTATTAAATCCCCTTGTATTTAAGTTCCTGCCTGTTCAGTTCCCCTTTGGTCTGGTCTAGTCGTTACGTTCCTTGTGTTCCTGTGTGTCTCAGCCCTGCCTTGTCTTGCCTCTGTTGGGATGGATTAAAGCCTGTTTATTTGAGTTATTCCTCGTCTCCGTGTTCCTTGTTCCTCCCCGCTGTGTGCACCGTGACAGAAGACCAGACCCAAAAACAGTGAGTGGCGCCCATTAGCCCATTATCCCCGTTTTGTTTTCTGTTCTGTTTTTCCCCTGCGGCATGGCAGTCGCTGCTCATCTTTCCACCCTAGCCCACAGAGATTTAGCGTGGGAGTTCGGCGGGATCTCTGGGAGCACTGCGAGTCTGCCGACCACTCATCAGTCAAGCCCGCCGGTCACTCCAAGGTCAAGTTTGCCGGCCGTTCCAGAGTCATTCCCAAGCCGCTTGTGTCTCCAGGTGCCTTTATGGAGGCGGTTCCTGAGTTTAACCCTGAGAGGGCCCCTGACTCCACGTCCGGCTCAAGGAGGACTGTTGTGCTCCTGTCATGCCCAGAGGGCCTCAGATTCCGAGTCTAGCCCAGAGTGGGCTCCAGTTCCTGAGTTTAGCCCCGAGAGGGTTCCGGTCTCCACGTCAAGCCCAGGGAGAGCTGCTGTCCCCCATCAGGCCCAGAGAGGGCCTCAGTCCCCAAATCTAGCCCATGGAGGGCTCCTGTTCCCGAGTTTAGCCCAAGGAGGGCTCCTATTCCTGAGTTTATCCCACGGAGTGCTCCTGTTCCCGAGTTTAGCCCAGTAAGGGTTCCTGTTCCCGAGTTTAGCCCAAGGAGGGCTCCTGTCCCTGAGTTTATCCCACGGAGTGCTCCTGTTCCCGAGTTTAGCCCAGGGAGGGCTCCTGTCCCCGAGTTTAGCCCACGCAGGGCTCCTGTCCCCAAGTGTAGCACAGAAAGGATTCCAGTTTGCCCAGAGGGCCTCAGATTCCAAGTCTAGCCCAGAGTGGGCTCCAGTTCCTGAGTTTAGCCCCGAGAGGGCTCCGTCTCCACGTCAAGCCCAGGGAGAGCTGCTGTCCCCCATCAGGCCCAGAGAGGGCCTCAGTCCCCAAATCTAGCCCATGGAGGGCTCCTGTTCCCGAGTTTAGCCCAAGGAGGGCTCCTGTTCCCGAGTTTAGCCCAAGGAGGGCTCCTATTCCCGAGTTTAGCCCAAGGAGGGCTCCTATTCCTGAGTTTCGCCCAAGGAGGGCTCCAGTCCCTGGATCCAGCCCAGAGAGAGCTGCTGTTCCCTCGTCCAGCCCAGGCAGGGCCTCTAGACCCAAGATTCTCCCCAAGGATTTTTTTTTGGGGGGGGGCTATATGGCTCGGGCCATAGAGGCCGGGCCGAAGGACGAGGCCAAGGCCACGGAGGCCGCCCTGCCATGGCCTCCTGAGATCCCTGCTCCGCCATGGCTTCCTGGGCTCCCTGCTGTGGCATGGTGCCCCGAACTGCCTGATCCGCCGTTGGATCTTAGGAGGCACGTGGATGCACCTTCAGGGGAGGGGGGAGTAATGTCAGTCTTGTGTTTCCCTCCCTCTTATGCCCATATTTGGTCATTTTCCTGTCTTTGTTTAGTATAATTATGATTCCGTTCAGCTGTGTTCTATTAATTACCCTTGTATTTAAGTTCCTGCCTGTTCAGTTCCCCTTTGGTCTGGTCTACTCGCTACGTTCCTTGTGTTCCTGTTTGTCTCAGCCCTGCCTTGTCTTGCCTCTGTTGGGATGGATTAAAGCCTGTTTATTTGAGTTATTCCTCGTCTCCGTGTTCCTTGTTCCTCCCCGCTGTGTGCACCGTGACAGTAATGAAGATAATTAAGGGCCAGTATTTGGATAAACCAAACTATATCATAAAGCGAACTGAGATAAGCTGGGAAGCCTTAAATGCAGTGAGTAAAATGTGGCTTAAACAGTACTCACAGTTTTCTCACAGTGCTCACTGACACCTTTTCACCAGTGACAGTCCAAGTGAAAATGGTGCTCTCCACCTTGAAGCCGCTCTCCAGAAGATTCTTAGACCGTGATGCCACAGTGGCCTATTAATATGAATAATGTTCACTCATAGCCTATACAATTGTGCCTTTTTTATTCAATGTGCCAAAACGAATTAAGTTGATTGCTATGACATGAAGGATGTTGAAATATAGCTGATCAATGTTGATGTTCTGACCTGGAGCTAGTTTTTCAATCGTCTTTTCTGCCTCGGATTTCTTTGTCTTCGGTGGTGTTGGTTTAAACTGTGCTCTTCGTGCCTCGGCAGGCTCCCAGAAACCAAGCCACGTGAGCACAAAGAACAAATGCAGCCAGAGGCGAATCATGAAATCGGTTCTTTTTAACGCGTTCACTAAAACGCTTTATACCAGTCTTCCCTATACAGCTGTTAAAAGTTTGCTAATATGAGTCAGTCAACTGTCCAGTGTTGCCCAACACAGATTAGGATGATGACCCTCTACTCTGGTTTATCATTAACACATAGACAAACCCACACAAATACAAATTTTTTGGCAATGCTCACTTTAATACAACTTGATAAGTTTTTTATTTTTATTTTGTCAAAGTGTTTGCACTCAGATTATAATGTACAGTGGTATGCAAAAATACAATATATCATAATGCAACATTACAGTGCACAGGAACATAATGACACCTTCTTATGGTATGTTTTATCAACCACACTCTTAAAAATAAAGTTTTTTTTTTTTATTGCCATCTGTTTCCAATAAGAACTTGTAACATCTTTGGAACCCTTCCAGTAGGTTCTTTACAGTGGAAAAGGTTATTTAGAATTTTAAACTGTTCTTTAACCTACACTCTTAAAAATAAAGGTGCTTCAAAAGGTTCTTCAAGCGATGCCATAGAAGAACCATTTTTGGTTCCACAAAGAACCATTCAGTCAAAGGTTCTTTAAAGAACCATCTCTTTCTTGCGTTTTTGTAATCTGAAGAACCTTCTTTCGCCCCAAAGAACCTTTGAAAGGTTCTTCAGATGTTAAAGGTTCTTTATGGAACCATTTAGACAAAAAGGTTCTTCTATGGCATCGTGAAGAACCTTTATTTTTAAGAGTATAAGAAAAAAATGGTTCTTTTAAGGATTGTTCATAGAAAGTAATCATTTTTGAGGAATCAAAAATGGCATTTCTGCTAAAGACACCCTTTTGGAACATTTATTTTTAATTTGTAGACTGTAACTCATAGCATACCACAGTGGACATTTGTTATTCAAATCATATTTGTTTTCTTTATTTGCGTGAAATAACTGTAAAATACTGTCCAGAGATATATGGATGTCTCTACATTATTTCTCTCTGGGCTTAAAGTTTAGAGCAATGCTGTTGATGCAGAATTGCTGGCCAGTAGGATCTGGACCATCATCAAAGACGTGTCCAAGATGGGCATCACACTATAAAACAAAATGACATGTTATAATGGTATCTGGCAACCTGAAAGGAAGAGTGGAATTATTACTATTTACATTGTATGTTAGCAAACAGCACAAAGTATGGTTTCCGGAAAAGCCAACACAATGATTAAACCAGCTGACATCATTGTCCTGCGCTCACATGTTTGCAGATAACCTCGGTTCCTGTGCTACCAAGTGAGTTGTCAGGGCGACGGACAATGTTGGCGTGACTCTCGTCTTTTTCCCATGTGCCGTGAGCCTCATAGAAGGACGGCCACCCAGTTCCTGAATCATATTTCGCTTCTGAGCTGTCAGAGCAAAAGGCAAAATTGTATTTATATTTGCAAGTTTTAATTGATGATTTATAAAAATATATTTTAATATTTATTTCATATTTAATAGATTTAATATTTTAATTTAATATTATTTTTTGTTAATTTATCATTTTGTTCTTTTGTCACTCCTCCTAACTGTATATATTTAAAAGTATCAATCCGTCTTCGAGGAGAATTACACAATTTTAATTGTATTTTGATGTAGGTTTTTAAAAGTTCTTACCTAAAAAGAGGGGAGTCACAGCAAACGCAGTGGTACATGCCCACCTCATTGTGATTCAAGTAGATGCCACTGAATGGCTATAAAATAAAAAGTGTGTACTTGTTTTTAATTTTTTTTTTCTCAAAGACAAATGAAGGTATCCAGAGAATTGTGTGATATTATGTGAGTTACCAAACGTACCACCTCTGTGCCTTTTTCTCTTGTAACAACATACTGTTCTGGAGTCAGCTTCCTCTGCCAATCTGTGGACTGGTCATAACGTGTCAATGACTGCAAACCTGTATAAACAGCCATAAACGCAATACATTTTTGTTCCAACACATACGTCTTAATATAATGGATATTAATCTCACAATTTGTAAAGAATTGTAAAAAAAAAAAAAAAAAAAATCCAAGTGTTTCTTCCTTTTTATATTTCTCTAATGAAAATGTTTCAAACAAAAATGTCTTGGGAATATTGTTTGAATTAGTAGCAATTTTACATTCTGTCATGTTGGTCTTCTAGTATCTCTTTAACTAACAAAGTCAGGTCTTTAATGACGTCATTCTCTAGGCAGTGACATTATTTCTGTTCATAAAACAACATGAATTTGATGAGATTTCTATGTTTTGTGGTATTAGTCAAAGAAATCGAATACATCATTGTTATACTATCTAATAAGGTAAAATGTTACTAATATATTTAAAATGATATATATTGTGAATTTATTTTAGATTTTGAGTATATTTCCGGCGTCAGTGCTGAGTTTATTATTTTGATTTATTTGAACATGCACCACATAGAAACAGTTTCTTCTGCAGGCCCTTTTCAAAAGCCAACACTGTGTTTGAGTAATCAGGTCACGCATGCATGTTCTGAGCTACATGACTAGAATAACTGCACTTTGCACCGACTCAATAGATAACGAAATGGAATTGCACAAAATGTACATTTCACAAAATATAATAATTCTAACAGAAATAATGTCTTGGGGTTCTTAATTTTTTTAACACAATATAGATCGAGGCAAAACCCCTACCCGTTGATGTAGACATCAGCCGAATCCCTACAAATATCCTCTTCTGATGTAAAATTGATTTGACAGTCGCTCCGTAGGAAACGATAGAGGAGAAGCGAATTAGAAAACGTGACATTTTTCTCGACATATTGTTTCATGCAGTGGCCTGACTTTCTCCACTATTAGTTCACATGGGCTACCCAAAAGACTGAAAAGAAGCTGAATAGAGCTCAGTTGTCTTCATTCCCCTCCTCACAGCTCGAGCAGCGGAAACCGGTCACAACTCACAGACTTGATGGGTCACGGTCGACTGACTGACTGAGACTGATCAAACTTTGCACCTTTTGTCAATGGACTAATCATCTAATCATCATGCACTTCGAAGTTTTAAAAAATTCGTTTTTTAGGTTCCTTGTTTTTTTGTCTTATCGGAATATTTTTGCTCTTATCAGTCTCTATTTCATCGCAGACTTTGACCTTCATATGGGAGAACAACGTGTAACGCCTTCTACAACAGTTATTACCATCAGAGATAATGCAATGTAACTAAGATTTGACCAGAATTCACATCATTTTTGATAATACTTTATTAGAATTAAATTCAGTAAATTTTGACAGAGTACAATAAATATAACATAAAATTATGCATTAATCACTTTCCTGACCCCCGACACCAAAATTGATATCAAAAACAATTCTTATATGAAATAAATCTGAGCTATATATATATATGTGTGTGTGTGTGTGTGTGTGTGTGTAAACATAAGACTAACATAAATTGGTCCGATATGCTAGAGCTGCTGGTGAGTTGCTTTTCATGAGGTTTCCAGGTTGATGCAGGAGATCTATGATATAACATTCAGGCTGAGAGTAACCATAAGTTTTCTTTGGACCGGTAATGAAGATTTCATTCCAGGCATGGTTGTATTCTTCTCTTATGAGACTGCAGCTCAGCCCAATTCGATCTGCAAGAACCTAAAATGGATAGCAATTAATCTGTTACACACAATTGAGCAGAAATATCAGTTGCAACTGAAGCCGGAACCACACGTCCCACCAAATATTCACATTTATTTATTTTTGTTTTTTCATTATGTGATTCTTAAATGACTACACTGCTGAATATGTGGTTACATCCTTGGTTGCACAAAGTCACAGTCAGGCCATTTTTATAGACAGTCAAGCAGAGAGAGGGTTCTGCCAATAGCACAGGATCTCTGGAGCACAGAAGGATGTATAAATTACCTTGTAAAGCAATGCTCTATGAAAGTAGGTGCCTTTTTTAATCTTTCCAATGAGAACGATGTTGGAACAGGCTTCAAATTTCAGCTCGCTTATGTGCTGCTCCCACAGAAAGTTGTGTAGGTTCTCTGGCTCAACCTGGCCACCATTGCATCACACACTAACCTGTGAAAAATATCACTTGTCACCACTTCAGCCAAATGGATGTTGAATATGGGATTACAAAGAGAAAAAACTCCCATGGCCAAAGCCGTATACATTTTGTCCTCATCCTGAAGTGGCGAGATGGATTCGGCTGCCTCTTTGACAAGGTTATGAAATGCAGCGTCATACGGCAAGCTCCATGCTTCATCCACCACCATCCCCTGCTGTGGCTTATACTCATCCTCATCTTTCTTTTTCTCATCCTCTTTGTGACCCTTTCCCTTCATTTTACTTCAGAGAGATGAGAGTGAGAAAGATGGTTTACAGAAGTAAAAACAACTCACGCACACACACCTTGGTGTTTTGCTGCTCCTTTTTCTGCTCAAAACAGATGAGGCAGTAGTTTCTGTTGGACTATATTGCTTACGATCATCTGGTCCCTTGGTAATAAATCTGAAAGAATGAGTACCTTTTAACCTTAAAAAGAAATAGTTCATCCAATGATGAAAACTTGCTGAAAATGTACTCACCCTCAGGCCATCCAAGATGTAGATGAGTGTGTTTATTCATCAGATCATATTTGGAGAAATTTTGCATTACATCACTTGCTCACCAATGGATCCTCTGCAGTAAATGTTTACCATAAGAATATGAGTCCAAACAGAGTGCAAATCACAATAATCCACAAGTAATGAAATGAATCCACAAGCTGCATGTTTGTAATAAACAAATTCATCATTGAGATGTTTTTAAGTTCAAACCAACTAAAGTTGAATCATGAAAGAAATATACACAGATCAAGACAGTTCTAAACAAATATGTTGATTGATTTTGATGTGAGAGGACAACAGGGGATGGTAGCGTTATTATAGATTATGGATTGGTATTTTGGCCAGAAGCGATGGTT